TATATATATATATATATATATATATATATATATATATATATATATATATATATATATATATTATATATATATATATATAATTATATTATATTATATTTATTTATTTATTTATTTTTCCCGCACCTATCGTGGGTCTTCAGGGTATGGATCCCCTGCGATAAACGAGGGACTACTGTAATCTCGTTACTTTTAACCCTGGACTACACTGGGTATGATTTTCCACATTGTTTTATCATCGTCCTCTAAAATCTCAGCCTCATCTTGTATTTCATTTCTTTCTTCCTCATCTTCTTAGAGCTCTAGATCCCCTTCCATAATTTTTAACAAGACTCTTTCTGCCTCTGACAGTTTTGATTCCTAAAGTATCACACCTGTGTGCCACCCATGCTGACCGACAGGGCAGCCATTTTGGAAACACAGATCTTCCGTTTCATGGAATGCACCCCAACAAACCACATGTCACTAGAAAACACAGGTTGTTCTCTACACAGCACAACAGGTTTAATTCATGTGGACTGTTTTTGTTTTTTTAAATAAAGCTGTGAACCTCGTGTCCTTTACAGGGGACAAAAATACATAGCTGGGTTATAAGAGATGACAAATGTGCTCAGTGAGGAAATGTTACAAGATAATGACCAACAACTATGACAAAGTTTATGGCTAAATAACAAAGAAAGTGTTGTATTTACTTGACAAACAAAGGCAGGAAGGAAAGGTGACACACTGAACCTGTGTTTGTGCCAACAGGTCAGCTGGCAACATCATCACTGTTCCCATTTTTCCTTATCAAAGATGGATAGATAGGATTTGTGTTGTTGGCACAAGGTGTTTCCATCCCATAAAACACATCATCTGTTCAGAATGTAAAAGGCGTTTGTCTTTGTCCTGTAAAAGTCCGGACAAAGATGTTTTTTTATTACTACAGAGAACATGTGAATAATTAATTTTAACAGTGCCGCTTTTTAAAAATCCAAGGTTACGTATCACTTTCAGACTTGTCTTCCAGGAAACGGTCATTAAGTAAAAGCAGCACATCACCTACCACCATTCATGTTGGGTTTAAACTAAAATAATCTTATGTTGAGAGATGAAAGTGATGTCTGGCTTGGTCAAACCTTTAAAATGATGTTATGCACATCTCGTGGTGTTGTGGGATCTTGCATGATCTGTTTCACCTTGAAGTGTGTCTCAGCTACATCAAGCTTTAGCTCAACATCTGTAAATTTGACTAAATTGTAGCTATTTTTGTTTTGGCTAAGGTCAGTAAGCTGTGGTGGCCGTCTTAAATTTGGGTTGTCTCCCTAAGTTGATCAGTTGTAGACGTACATCCAGTGATTACCTTCATTCAAACCTGTCCAATGGTTCATGAAAAATCTTGCTAACACACACAGACAATTAACACAAAACACTGTCACAAACGTTATCGCTTGTCTTTTGACTTTGACATTGACAAGAGCTTTGGTTTGAACCAAGAAAGAAATCCATTGAGATTATTAAGCTCCTACAAGGATGTCCTGGGCAGTGTACAAGGTGCAAACAAGCCATTACAAATACAGCAAGTCTTAATAACAGTAACAGAAGTATTAAAATATTTACAACAAAACATCTGGTAATAAGACATAAATTACAATGCAAGTTTAAAAAAATATCAGAATTTAAGACGCTTAAACATTACAGGTACAAATTGTGACTAAAACCTCTGACAGTTTTTATTTAAAACTAGATAAAGGAATAATCTGTTTGTCTATATCTCTCTATATCTCTATCTCGCTCTCTGATATCAAGATATCTATCTGTTGATATAT